TCTGCTTAAGTTTTACTAACATAAGTGAGGCTTTTTTAAGTATTTTTTTCGAGCATGAGTGATTAGATGCTATGAATGGACTTGGAAGAAACGAATAAGCCAATGTCGTCTGCGCATCGAGTATCGGTAAACAGTAGAGGACCAAGGACAAAGCCTTGTGAGTACTGATGACAGAAAGAGAGAGGTGAGGTTTTATTCCTACTGACACAAGAGAGGGGTTTCTTCTTCATTGTTTTTTGTTTTGCGAACATGGGTGTAGTGAGGATGATGAAAGAAATGAAGTTGTCGTGTTGTAAATGCCACTTTGAGTTTTTTTTACCACAGTGGCAAATGATGAAGAAGTACACCCACCCGTCCCTTTTGATATCCTTTTTCACACCCTCAGTGACAGCTAGACCTCACAAACGGGACGAGGCTCTATCCTCCATTCGCACATCTCCCAAAATACACCTTGTTTATCCCCCAAACATTTTGTATACGCATTGTCTTCAATTCTTCTTAAGGTGACTATGATACCCAGGAGACATTAAACAAAAGTTCTGCAAAATTTTTGGGGACAAACAAGGTGTATTACAAGAGATGTGCAAATGGCGAATGCTGTTTTCGAAAAGCGGAGTCTTATTTACGCTTTTACTAAACAGAACGCATTCGTATTGCTAATAGGTGACTCCAACTAGCATGCAACAGAGCCTCATGGGTGGTAATTATATGAATGAGCCTCGATTGTAAGCTAGTTCCAGTCAATTACCGCGACTAAGATTGGGCAGGTGTAAGATTCAAGCCCAATGCCTCAGCATTGCTGGCTCATGGCTGAGCGCATCTAAGCTATTCACAATACTCAAAATCGAAGCGCGAAGCCAAAACATTAAAATAACAAGTCTCATGCACAAATGTATGCAGGTGCAAGGGGTCCTGAATCTCAAGGGGCAATAATAAATGCCGTTGAACACTACCTCTCCGCTCAGTCTCTGATCAGGACCAAGGAGGAAGGTGGAACGGCGACACCTCCCCAACCCTTTCTTTGCTAAAAATTCGTGTTTGGATCGGGAATCGATTACAGTTTCCACCTCCTCAAGGGCGCTCGATCAATTTTCCCCCATCTTAATAACAATGAGCGCGAGTAATTTAGTGTTGTGAAATAGGATACTAAGGCAAAGGTATTTTTTCCCACCCACCAGGATGTCATTCCTTGTCCCGGATTGATGGTCCAACCGTGTTTGAACCCGAGTCTCCCGATTAACAATCACGTGACCTACAACTGTGCTGTAAGAGTAGCGCGTGGTTCTCTTTCTATCCTCCCTTTGCCCCCTTCACCCGTGTTAAGGCGGATAATCCATCTTCAAAATCTGTCAAAAATTGACGGATAAACAGATGGACAAAGTCAGGCGGATTGCATTGTTTATCCAAAATTAAAACCGTTACATTTTCAGATTAAGACGTATTATCTGTTTGACTCGAATTATCCAATGGATAATCCGTCTCTAGTGTGAGAACGGCCAATGACTGTGCTCTTAACAGGACTTTCTCGAGGATTTGTTCGTGAATACTTTAAAGGCACCTCAGGGTGTTAACGAATATTAAATGAACAACGACCCAAAAAAAAAAAACAAGACATATTGAGGAAAAACCAAGGTACATGTAGCCACTATAAAACTCACACCGTAAATACACCACTTCCCTACTCTATTTGATGGTCTGGAATTAGCAAAAAATCGGGGCTCATACAGGAGTTGAAGAGGAGAATCCCCCCTGACGCATGTTCCTCGACTACAAGCTAGTTCCTCATCGCTCCTGAGAATACGAATATAATCTGGATTAGGCCTAGTCCAAACGTCTAAAATTTCATGAGACGAGCCAAACTCTAATTTGGGTCGAGCTAAAATAAGTTAAGATCGTCTGTTGGGCCAAACGTCGAACTAAGGACGCGTCGAACAGATCAAAAAGTAATTTAATAACTTTTCTCCCAAACGAGGCTAAATATACATTATCATACAACTTTTTCATTTATTAGTTCAGCTCGTTGCATGTGAACGTCAACGGATCTCCCGGAGACGATCTTCAGATGTTCTATCCGTCTGCTTCAGACGGATACAACGTGTTGGACGATCCAAATTCATTCAGACAAACTTAACGGAGCCAGACGTCGAACTTTTCATGAACTTAACTCACTAAGTTTGTTTCGTCTCATGAAAAGTTCGACGTTTGGCCTGGGCCTTACAAAAAAGAATAAAATACTAGGCATTTTTACTTCACAAAACTTTATTTCGTTGAGTTTTAATAAAATGAAACTCAGTACATTATACTAAAAACCAAATTTGGCGCATTTGATGCTAAAGGTAGTTTGCAATGTTCTCTCTTGCTTGTTTGTAATAAATGTTCATTGCTGATTAACATATAAAGATCGCTCTTGGCTAAACGCCAACTAAACTAAACCATGGTGAAATACAGTTTAAATATTTTAATTTAAACTAAATCATAATTTCTTTTCTGTATAGTTGTCACTATCATACAAACTCTATTGAAATGTAGGAAAACTATACCAATAGTTAGTTTCAATATTTTACAATCCCTGAAACTACAAGGAACTCATGCTGTATTAACCTTGATCAAACTGGACCAGATGGCGCACAAGTCACAATCATCAGTTACAATATTTATCAAATTCTAAAACTACTGGTAACTCATGTTGTATTAACCTTGGCCTCACTGGACCAGAAGGCGTACAACTCCACTTGAGTGCAAATGTATTTACGACGAAAGTACCAATTGTGGAAACTATTTTTACGTCTCCCACTGGAGACGGGACCACTATGTTACGTGGTCATCCGAACCACGCGAAGGTTCAGCCGCTTGAAGTGCAAAGAGATTACCTTCGTTTTTCAGTTATTTTAAGACCCTGAGTAATGGTCCAGTCCCGGGAATCGAACCCGCGACCTCCCGCCCTGCAGTCATGCGCTCTGCCGACTGAGCTAATCCCGCCTGTTCAGTCCGAGACTCAAAACATGTAAAATTTCAAAATATGGACACAGAAATACTTCTTTACAACACTGACAAGTGCCAGTCGCTTGATGCTCTCAAATCAATCATTACACTGTAGTTTTATCTTATCCCTTTGGGTCCCGTTGATATGAAGAAAAATTGTCCCCAAAAAGAGGATCACCCTCCAGCTGAGTCAACGGAAAAAATAATTCACCCCTTTGCCCGAGCCAACAGTGCTCGCGCACGCTCTGGTTGTCTCGCCTTGATCAAGTTGACCCAGCCGGGCGAGCCAAAGTGTTTGAACGGAAAAACGTTGGATCAGCTAGGAGGGTGACCCTACCTTCACAAAAGGGTGAACCGGCGGCTAGGCGGGTCATTCTTCTAGCCAAGCAAACTTTTTTTCACAATTACACGGTTCGCCACGTTTTTTAACCCTTTTAACCATAAGATCAAAATTCGAATTCTTATTTATTGCCTCTATTCATTTCCTAGAGAAGTAGTGGGGAGGAGGTGATAAAATATCAAGCAAATTCATTTTGTGTGATCATGTCCGTAATTCTCATGACCACCCTGTTTTACAAAGCTTTGATATTACAAGGAGAAATTTGATGCCAATCACTATTAGGGCTTAAAGGGTTAAGGGAACGTATGGCTCACGGTAGGCGGCGGATTGACCCTTCTACCCGGGACAACTTTTCTCCATATAAATGGGCCTAAAAAAGCTGAAACAGATTCACGTCGAATGGGATTGTGTTACACTGTGCAACCAGGTAAGTTGAATTGACAATGGAAGACTTTACGAGACAGTGAGAACCAGAGTACAATTTTCAAAGTTATGTTCACACTATGCTGTATAAAACTTGCACTGTCGGTTTTTTTAAACGATTTTTAATGCGTACGTCCGAATCAGCCTTCGAAAGCTAAAACTCAAAGCGATTTGTTTTTCACTAATTCGATTTGATCTAGTCTTTCGGAAGTCAAAGCGCTAAAAATGTGTCGGGGTTTTGCCATTTTCGACTGCACGTGAGACACACCTGAAGGTATCTGGTAACCTTAACGCTCTACAGAGTAGTGTGAACATAACGGACCTCAGGTTGAGCTTCCACAAGAAAAAATAGCCAAAATTACTTGCACGTGAGACACACCTGAAGGTATCTGGTAACCTAAACGCTATCAAATACTGAGTAATGTGAATATAACGGACTTCAGGGTGGGCTTCCACAGCAAAAAATAGCCTACATTACTATCAATTTCTAGTGTTTAACTGGAAAAATTTCCAGATTGATCATTCGGCTTTTAAAATTAGAATTTTCATTCAATTTTAAGGATCGTTTGTCAGGGCTGCTTCAAGATTCACGAAAAGAAAAAAGATATTGCTGTTTTAGGTCAGTTTTGTCCTGAAGTCATTACTTAGTGCCTATTAAAACCCATACACAAATTGTCCCAACTTGTGGAGTTATGAAAAAGATACCAAACAAATTTCATCAGAGAGCACTAACCATATTTTTTGGGGAGATTTTTGTCAAGCAGCACCTCACTGAACGGCTCACACAATTGGCTGTGAAAACAATAGAAACGGTGACATAACAATGCCCCTATCCCTTAAAACAAAAGGCAATATTGTTTAAGTCGACCACTGAAATTAGAGGTTCATGTGAGGTACTGGACTAGTGATTTTTGCAGGCATAGCATAAAACTTGAAAAAGTTGGCCCAACTTTTTCAACTTTCAATCCATGTCCAACCTTGCGATCCGTTACAATTGACGGCAGGAAACAGTTTTAATGTCGTAATATAATCTTAAATAAGAAAACTGGACCATAATTTTTGGAATTCAATTGATAGGACAAACGTGTTCGCTTTATGAAAAGATAAGTAATGGCCTGACATAGCCTCTTTTAAGCCACATTACTATAGTGACTACATTTCACTTGATACTGATATCTGTTCCTGCGAGAAGCACACAAATCTTAGCTGTATTTTCCTACTGAATTGAAAACTTCTGGCATCCACTATCCTTTCCATAGAAACTTACATCAAGTTCAAGTATGGATAATGTTTGGCTTTCTATCAAAAGTTTACTAAAGTCATATAAACGGCCATTACCTTTAGAACAATGGCTATTTACTTTTAATCTCAGTGTTGTCAATGAGGTGTTTCTCATCAAAGCGTCGCAAAGGCCTTGTATCCAGTCATCTCTCACTTCTTTGCTACTGTTGAGTGTCAGGTTGAATGTGGTTACTGATGTGTATTCTGCCAAAAATTGGAACACTCCAGAGGCGTCTAAAACCCCTGATATATTCGATATTTCTTCACCGTACTCATTTATCGTGAGATTTAACGTAGTTATCAACGTATTCACTGGCAATTCGATGGAAGAAAACCGCCGATCAGCGCACAAATCAGAGCCTGTCTCAATTACTGTCATAGTCACTGTCAGCGTGTTCACTGACGAGTTTAATGAAAGAACGTCAGTGAGATCGTCAAGGATTCTTGATAAATCCGCATTATGATACGGAGCAAGCACTGCCACACTAAATGTTTTTAATGAGGTAGTTATTGCCAAGCCGTCAGTGAGGCCACAGAAATAGCTCTCAGAGTAATCATCCATGTTGAATGTGAGACTGAGTTTTGTAAGTGACGTGCACTCTCTTAAACAATCACCCACAACCTTGTTCCAAAATGAATGCATGCTATCACTATGGATTGAAACAGAAAGGGAAGATAATGATTTGATTGCCGCTAGGACGTTACTCAGTTTAATTGGACAATCCTTCTGATTCCATTTACCGTCGCCGTTTAGTTCAAGGGCGAGTGTAGTTAAAGATGCCATTTTGATCAAACACTCACCCAGTTTGCATTCCCATCCTTCTTTCATGTTACTGAAGTTGACTGTGAGACTAAGAGATGTTAAAGAAGTGCTTTGCAATAAACTATTCCCGAGGTCTTCTCCCAAATCTGCATCCACGAAGCAGCTGTTGACTGTAACATCAAGCGTGGTCAGGGATGTGTTTTCTGCCAAAGCATCACCTAGGCAACGTGTCCACGCCTTGGTAAAATAACTATCGTTATTGATTGTAAGACTGACTTTTTCTTTTCTTCTATCCTTGACTTTGATGAAAAAAGCTCTCAATGCCACAGAATTATCGGTAGTGATAACAGGAACATCGTTTGTTGACTCATCTGGACCCATACGCACGTCATGTACATTTAACTGAACGCGACTGTTTTTTGATAGGCTGGAAGGAACAATACCTCTCTCTGTTGTCAAATTGCCCCATATGTTGATGGACAGGGAAGATAGTGTCTTGTTTTCTTCCAAACATCTTGCAATGGAATTAGAAACTTCACTTGTCAAATTTCCACGCACGTTTAATGTGAGAACAGTAATGGAGGAAGGTGCCAAGACTTCAGAAAGGGCTTCTGCCGCTTCGCATTTCATCTCACCCCAGACGTTAACAGTTACGAGTTGCTTTATATTTAACCCTTTCCTAACCAGAACAGGACGAAAATAATTCTTTGCTACGTTGTTAATGGTGTTTGGATAAATAGAACAGCAAACAGGGGACCTTTTCGCCAAGCGAAGATTTTCCACAACAGAATGCCAGTTACCAGGGAGCTCACCGTCGACATACAGTCTTATATAATTCAAAGAACTATTTTCCATAAGCCCTTTCTCCAGGAAACTGGCACTTGAGGAACTCAGCGGTCCACAAAGATGTAGATCAAGAGATTTTAAAACTGTTTGTCTTACAAGTGCTTCACTGATAGTAGTGACTAACAAATCAAGCACGCCTCCAACAATATAAAGAGAAATAGAATTCAAGGATTTACTTGATAAAAAATTTTGTAAAGCTAGTGTCGCAGTATACGTCATTGGCCCACGTAGCTCGAGACCAGCAGTCGTCAGCGGTGTCAATCCAGTTTCAAGCGCATTGAAAAAACCCTCGCTATAAGCATATCCAGGCAGAGAAAACGTTACTTTTGTCAGAGTTCGACAGGAAGCCAACCCTCGTCCAATTTGAACCAGCAGGTCACACTCCTTAGGGGTGGCATTATATCTGAATTTAAGAGTAAACTCTGATAGACTCTTGGTCACAGAAAACCATTTGCAAAGACGATCTGTATCTGATGACGTCAAAAATTCTTCATCATAAACAAAGCTTACGACTGTCAGCTGCGGGCAGGATTCTATATAATTCAACACGCCTCTCACTCCTTTCTCCAAACCATATGTATCAGCATATAGTTCAGCAGGTGTCTGTAAATTTGAAAAGCTTTTGCACGTCATTAAAACCTTAATAAAAGAAGAGTTGTATTTTTCCCCGAATTTAAAGGTAATGACCTTTGGAAAAGGTATAATGTTACAAAGAGTAACTGCCATTTCTTCAGCATGTCCACTCTCATTAAAGCTTTGAATAAAGAATGTAGCTGTCTCCTCACTGCAATTCTCGTTCCAGTCCCAGTAATATGTCCTCTTTAACTCCACGCCAATCTGGGTGAATAAAATAGTTGCTTTCTCGCTTAGCATACCAGAAACAAAAATAAACACTTGTGGATATTTCGTCACAAAGTCCTCAAAGCTTATGTGCTCAAATACATAAAACTGTAGATTTACTAGCTTCTCTGCAATAAACGCGGCAGCCACGTACTCTTGGAAGGTCTTGTGAAGAAAGCAGTACTCATGTTGAGGCTTTAATCTCTTTAGACTTTCTTCTTTGTAAAGAAGGCCTAGCTCACGAGCTACCAATCCTGGGTATCTTTTTTCAAACTCATCCAATTCAGTTTCACGGAAACCATAACGATCACTCAACAGGCATAACCAAGCTAGCTCTCCGAGTGCAAGAATTTCCTTTTCAAACGTTTTCTCTAGGACACTGTCATCTTCAGGGACCGGCCAGTTGCGTTTGGCGCAGTATCGCCTCAAAAGACATTGCACAATGACTTGGTAAAGTTCTGTCCAGGAAGTCGGCAATTTTCCCTCACAGTCCTCATAAACAACGCAAAGCAGAAGTAAATTTAGCGGGTTATTTCGTAGTGCATGTAAGAAAGTGTTCTGCTGCATTTCCTCAATGAGCCTCTCCCCCTTTGGTGACTGGCCAATGGTTTCAAAGTGTCTTCTGACGTACGCAATAGAATCATTTTCCGTGTACCCTTTGATTTCTAAGTGAATGTCGAAGACAACGCTTTTTCGTACTTCGATTCCTCTTTCTTGTCGTGTCGTAGCCAAGACAAAGCAAAATGGTAAAATTCGTCTTTGAAGCAGCTCATCTACATGGTGCCGTGACTTTTCAGGTAGCTCATCCAATCCATCCAAAATTATTAAAATCAGTCTCTCCTGGTTATGAATGTTCTTCATGAAATGCAACAGCTTCTCCACAGACTTCTCCATATCCATATCCCTGGGCAAAAGTTGTTCACTGATAGCTTCCATTATATCTCCATCAATGTCACGACATTTGAGAAGAAACACAAATTCAAACTTGGGAAAGGAGCACTCAGATGGGATATTTCCACGAGCCCAGTCATAAGCAAGTTTGAGGCAAAACGTAGTTTTACCAATTCCTGGACTTCCCTCTACTAACGTCATAACATCCTCACCAATGCCAGGAGATTTGAAAATGTCGAACACATTCACCTCGTCGCCTTCCACCTGGATGGCCAATTTTCCTCTTGAGATGATTTTCAGTCTTGTGTAGACTTGTTCTATGGGTAACTGGATGGTGCTATCCCATAGAAGTGGTCTTAGCTGCGAGCGCCTTTTGTATTCCTTTTTCAGCAATTTCACAAGAACCAAGGTTTCCCAATCTGAGATTGGAAATATTTGTCAGTAACCACAAAGCAGAGGATGTGCACTTATGCATAAAACGTTAAAATAATAGGTAAATTGGAAATTTTTGCGGACGTCAGCTTTTATGGTTCTCTCCTCTAAATCAAATCAAAGTGTTTTATTACAGATACGCTTTAAAAGAAAACGTTGAAAACCGAAAACAACTAAAGAAGGGTTAGTTCTCGAAACGTAAGGTTTTGAAAATCTTTACGATGGCCATTTTAACTTTGTCAACTCAGTTGAAAAAACCAATTGTTGTGCACTTCACTCCCCCAACCGCCGCAGCACCACTTAAAAACTAACTTCATTACTTCTTTTAAGGAGAAATCGATTTTCAGCAACTCCTACATAAAAATGAAAAATGCAATATTGTTGAGCATACCTCGTGTGATCTAACTAGGACTAAAGTTAAACATCTTTAATCCGCACAATGGCTTCGTTTTATCGACAGAGTTAACCCTTTCAATCTTAACAGTAGCCAAAGCAAAAGTTCTCAAAAACACTAGATTTCTTTTTGGTAAAATCCTACGAATAAATAGTACTAGGTAAAATTTTTGCCAATTCATTTGAATGGTAACAACATGGGATTTTGTCCACAGATTTCACCGTTAGTAAAACAAATAATTTCGCTATATCTTAGCTTGAGTATCAGGCGTTTTTGGTGGCTAAGGAAAAGAAAGAGGTGAAAAATCTCGGTCTAGGATCGATCAGAGCGAGAGGAGGGTTAATGAACTTTAGCTTCTGAGTTCCTTTAGGGGGTGACCTATTTACCTATTTACCCGTACATACAATCAGCTGTTTTCCAATACTAAGACGGTTATAAACTGTGGTCAAACTTAAACAAACTTTACCTTCATCTCTCAACAACCTTGGGTATTTAAAAACCGGAGTGTTGCTTGAAAGTAATGGTCTTTTCTCCTCTCGCTTTTCAGATAACTGTTGCCTCTCTGATAAGCCTGAAGGTAAATCAGTTCAGTATTGATGTAATAATTTTTGCCAGTAGGTATGTCAGCTATTAGACAATAAAAAGTGCTTTTTAGGAAGTTTATGTGTACCTCTAGTAAAACGATTTTAAAAGTTGATTTCTTTAAAAGGTAATGTCAGTAGTCCAGAGGAAAATATCAGTACATGTAATAGTGTGTACAGTACTTACTTGAAAAAGGTCTTTTCTTTCAACAGGCTTTATCATCAAATGAGCAACGAATAAAAAACTAAAAAAACACACTGCAGGGCTGTCACCAAGATTTCAAGTTCCCAGGTAAATACAACAAGTAGGCAGGGAATCAAACATACAGTTGGTAATTTCTTTTGGTTAGACTATTTTTCTTCTACTTTCCCATAAAAGTAGCAGGGGGCCACATTTATAGTAGCGGGGGGAAATCCCTTTTCCCTGTCTCTTAATAACAGCCCTGTTAATAAAAATTATCATTTGTGACAAGTGATTCCCCCTTTTCTGTCAGCATTCCTCAATACTAACCGAAACGTATAGCCTTTTGGTGGAACTCAAGGGAGCAGCCCAAGTAATTGTCATTGTTCCAGAACTCAAGCCCATCTCTTTTGTAACTTTATTGGCTATTTCTGTCAAAACAGATATGCAACTGTCCATGACTCTTTTAAAAGTTCTCCATCTAAACGGGAGGTGTGTCGAAAAATGCTTTGAACTTTAATGAGTGCCATATCGCATCTTTTTTATGAGCAAATGCAGTGTATCACACCTGTTTCCCAAGTCTAATAACACAGAATAAGCAATAGACTGTGACTAATTTAACTGACCTTCGAAAGTGATGATTTTCATCCTTTCTATAAATTTATCACACTGTTCATCCCAGCTGTACTTTTCTGCATATGCTCTACGTACAACTTTAGACTCCCCGAGACGCATCTCCCTGTCTTTGTGATGAACAGTTTTGATTGCATTGGCCCATTCTCTAGGATCTTCTGACTCTATCACACAGCTCGAAGCAAAAGGAACTTTCTTCAAAGCCTCCCCAAAACCAGAGTTCCCACTGACCAGCACAGGCAGACCAGCTGATAAAGCCTCAAGGGCGGCTAGACCAAAGCCCTCAGCTCGGGATGGCATTATAGCAAGATCTACCTCACAAAATAACTGTGATAGCTGCTCTCTGCTTTCATTAAAACGACGCACCCTGAGTTGACTGCGATCAATGCCATGCTTAAGTAACAAGTCTGCTACTTTATCTTCTTCTCCCCGTGTTGCTCCAACAAACACAAGTTTGTACGTCGTGTCTTTCAACTCAGCAATGGCTTGGGCAGCAATGTCATATCCTTTTAGCTGAAAATCTTCATTGTCGCCACGTCCAAACACTAAAACAGTAAATGAACTTCTTTCCTGAGAGGCTTGCTTTACATCAGCAAATTCAGAGAAAATGCCTGGGGTAAGATTGAAAACATCTTGATCCTTTCCACAGGGACGGAGATAACCCGAAAAAGCTTCAGCCAGCTTGGGTCCAACTGCTACAACTTGATCAGCCAATTTACAGAATTCAACCTCCACTTGGTGTTTCTCTTCACCTCTGGAAATGCGCTCTTCATATCCTTTGTACATTCCAAGTTCTTCTGGAGAGGTATGAACGACCTGAATCCACTTACAATGAGGACGATCACGTTTTATACCTTGCACTTGCCGACCAAGAATGGCTCCATGTCCTATCACACAGTCCACAGCATGGTCTTTTGGTAGGAAGGACAACCAGTCAACCGGGTCATAACCTGGCATTTTTTCTGCTTCAATGACATGAACATTGTGTCTGGCAGCGACTCGTTTGTCTTCTTCACTGCACTGAGGGAGATAAACACTGACATCCACGCTGGGGTGTTTTGCCAACTGAATGGCGAGCTGTCGGTTGATGGTTGACAAGCCT